ATTTGATCTCCTCCCTTGAATAACTTTTTCAGATCTTTAATCTTTATAGCATCATGATCATGGAATAGGTTGAAATTTATAATGGACTCCACAAAATTAGAAAATTATAAAATGTGATCTAACAATCTCTCCCTTTGGCAATTTCATTACAAAATAAATAATCGAGAAATTAACATTTCAACCCACAAACTATTGAACAAAACGAATTATAAATCTAATCTCAACACTCATGCACACGTCCGAAATCTCTATCTAAGTACATGATCTACTTCTTAAGATATAGCTTGAAGATCATAGTTCTGCACATCACCACTCAAACCAAAACCTTGTGAAAAGCAACAAATGTTAGAAATACATAACATAATCACATGTTTGAAAAATACCAAGTTAAAAATAGGGCATATTTATGTCTACTTCCTGCAATTGCAAATATGAAATATAGTATGAACTACTTCGCACCATATGCTTGAGAACCTATTGACATAGCAATGTCAAACACATCAAATTCTCCACCTTAGTTGGTGTTCACAAGTACAATAACAATTTTAAAATAAAAAAGTGTAAAATATATGACTTCATGTCAAGTTTGTAAATTTACTACCCCTGAGTAATTGAATAAAATCTCCCTTACTATTTTTACATGCAATATATCTAGCGTAGTCAAAAGTAAATCTCTCTAATTCCTCTCATATGTACCTAAAATATTCTCCTTATATTTGTCACAAATGTCATCCCAATGATAATATATGACAAGCACGGTATAGAATCAAGTTACACAATATATTATTTCCTTATTTGCTATAAATGTCAACTCAATGACAACTTATAACAAGCATGATATAGAATCATGGTGTATCGAGAATGTATAAACATAGACTAACTAGCTAAACATGCACATAAAGTAACCAAAAGACAAATAAGGCATATAACTCTAAGTTAAATATGATAAAGCATCAATAAACAAGACTAAGACTGTTGTCACCACAAACGAAAATTGACTAAACAAATAAAAGTCAACAACAAAAAAATAGAGCACTTTAGTACAGAAAATGAATGAATAATAAATACTCCAAACTCCCATAGAGCCTAAATTAAAAGTCTTTAAAACAGCTCAAGTAATTGCATCATCTCCACCATCTTTGTCCACCATCATGCTAGGGCAGCTCTGTTTCTGAATCTGTCTCATCTGGCACGGGGCTCTCCTACAATCTACTTATCCTGAATCAATCTGTGTAGTCAACCAACTCTCCCAGTAAGCGATTCAAAGACAACCTACTAAGCTGACTCCATCCTCACAATCCGACCATCCAATGCATCTAGTATCTGAGAAGTAAGACGATGATGCTCCACCAAGCGCTGATGCATACTCATAATCATATCAACCAACGATGCTTACGGAGCAGAAATGATGTCTGAACTGGGCTCACGTGGTGGTGGTGATGGCCTAAACGTACTAGTATAAAGATGACCTGGTGGATCTTCTACAACTTCTCCTCACTCCTCAACTACCATAATCAACCTAGGCCTTACTTTGCTTCATAGAACTCCTATTCAAAGGCCTCATAGACTACTGCAATTGATCCCTAGGCATGACAACAATTCCACTACCCTTGAAGATTATCAATGTTGAACCGATACTTTAATAAGCATGATTTTGATGATCACAAGTATCCTAATAAAAAACTAACACTTGTAATTAGTGTATGGATGAGTATAGGATCAAGTTGGACATGTATCAAAGTTGCAAAAGAAAAGAAAAGGATAGAAACCAAAGCAGAATCATAATCTAAAAAAACATCTAGAATTTTGGATGTGCCAGGTAGAACACTACACCGAAGTCTGGATAGCTCTTCTAGAATTCTGGTTGAAGAGAAAAGGCTGAGAAAATAAAGGGTACTAGGAAGAGCTTCAGGAACTCCAAATGTGTTATCCGGAAGGCTACTCTAGAATTCCATGAGTACCTCTCTGAAGTTCAGGATGTGGAGAAACCATGAAGGATAAGACCAAGAGGCAAAATGCAGTTTTGGAATTATGGATTGGTTCCAGCCAAAAGTCTTGTTACTGATCATCCGAAATTTTGAATGAACATCTAGAAGCTCTCCAAAACTCTATAGAATATGAAGATTTTGAAGAACCAAGATAAAGTCTAAACAAAAGGTTTTATCGGAAGTCCGAATGCCTATCTAGACATCCAGTTATAGCTGTTAGGCCTCCAATGGTTACATCCAGAAGTACGGATAGACTTCCGGATGACTCATTTTTCTGCAAGCAGCTTTAAATCTCTCATTTACTACGCCAAACTATAAATAGGGTCTTGAGGGTTTTCAAGACTAACTTTTGAAGATTTTATCTTTGAGCAAAAACAAAAGACAGATCCATTGAGCTTTTGTCTACATCTCAAGAAGAAGATTCTTGTGTATATCTTATTCGTCTTTATTTGATTCTCTTGAGCTTCGTGAGAATATTGTATTGAGATCATATTCTTTAGCAAGAGAGATTGTTGTATACTCTTCTTGAAGTTAAAAGGGAGTTCATCTTTTTTATCAAGAAGAAGAAGATTATAAGGGTTTCATTTTCGCACATTTAAAGAGGATAAACATAGTGAAAGGGAAACTCCATGTGAAGGAAGAAATGAGGACATAGGCCTAGTGATTTGGGATCGAACCTCTAGAAATAGAGTTTACATCTCCTTCTCTATGCTCTTATCTATTGTGTGAATATATTATTGTTTACTACGCATTCATTTCACACACATTTACTTATAATCAAATCAATTTTACGAATAGTAATTTTGTTTTTGGAAAAAAAATTTGAAGAGATAAAACCTAATTCACCACCCTTTTAGGTTGCATTTGGGACAACAATTGGTATTAGAGCAAAGATTCTTGACATAGTATGTAACAACCTTAGAGTTAAAGATCACAACAACCGTAGAAAGAAACATAGTTGAAGGACAATCTATCTCTAGACCTCCATTCTTTATTGGAAATGATTATGCATATTGAAAAACTAAAATAAAAATATATATCATGTCTGTAGATGATGCATTGTGGAATATCATTGAAGATGGATATATAAAGTCTACAAAAGTCAAGAAAAAATGGACTAGTGCTAAAAGATGGCACACACTAGCAATGCTAAGGCCATGAATACACTATATTGTGCATTGGATAAAAGTGAATTCAATTGCATATCTACATGTGAATCTACTAGGCAAATATGACATATGCTAGAAGTCACACATGAGGGAACTAGCAAAGTTAAAGAATCCAAAATAAATATGTTTGTACATAACTATGAACTATTTAGGATGGAACCTCATAAGAACATATCGAAAATGTTTACTTATTTTACTAACATTATTAATGCTCTAAAGGCTCTCGATAAATCATATGCTGATGAGGAACTTGTAAAAAAAATTCTTAGGTGTATCAAGATTGTGGGATACCAAGGTGACTGTCATTCTTGAAGCAAAGGACCTCAAAGCTCTTCCTCTTGAAGAACTCCTTGGATCCCTCATGACTTAAGAGATGGGCATCAAAAGAGATGAAGTGCAAGAGAAAAAGGAAAAGAAATCTATTGTCTTCAAGTCAACCAAGGCAACGACAGGTATTCCACTAGAGATCCATGTGGTTGTAATTGGACTACACCATGCCCAATAATTGCAAAACTTATTCTCGCACGCATAATATAGCCTCTCTTTTGATGGTTTCTCTGACTCGACAATCTTGATAGTACCCTTTCGCCCACATCCACAATATTTTACTATGAATCTTAAGTCAAGTGTTTCCCCTCCACCCATAACACTTGAACATGACATAATGTACCTAAATGTTAGAAAATACACCCAAAAAACACCAAAAGAATTTAGATTTCTTTTGCATTTGTTATTGCACTTATTGAAATATTAAGTTAAACCACAATGACAACAGCTTATTGGCAACAAAATGATAAAGCAAATGAGTATAAGAAATGAACAAGGATCAACATGCTTGAGTTTCTCTTATTTTTCTTTCCCTCTTTTATTCCTTCTTCTTTCTTATTCTTCCTCCAACCTCCAGTTCTTCTTCTGGGTGAACAAATGTTGTCTTATGTATTATAAGGTTAGGGCATTTAGGACATTTGACAGACAGATTTTTGGAGGGATGTGGAACAGGTTCGTGAATCACAGAGCTCGTCAAGTTAGATGGAAACTCTGACTATGCACATTAGTCCACATACCACATGGTGGTTATGTGCTTATTTTGAAATGTCGGGGATTATGTGCTTAATGTGCAAACCACAGGCGTAATTTGAATTTTGTCTTTTTTTGTTTTTGGCTACATAATACCTTTGAACACAGATAATTGTTGGTTATCTTAGACGAAGGGATAATATTTTACCGTTGTAATGAATATTTTTTCTAGGAATTTAAATTTACATTGTCCACTTATTAACTTATCATTGAACAATAATACCATGTGGTATGACAGATGTAATGTCACCGTGAAATTAAATATTTTCTCCTTGTGCAAACCCAAAAGTAGCACAGAGAGAGCAAAACTCCCAATTAAAAAAATATTGCTTATGAATCACATCTGGCAAATGTGTAATTTTGGGAATTATTTTTCAAAGAGTGGTAGATAAAAAAATAAGTGTTCTTTTTTTTTTTAATGATGAATGGTATTTGTGTTTTTTTTTTTTTGGTCTGAACCGAGTCAATAACCAGCAAGTTCCATTAATCAAAACTGTTAGGAGAGATGACTAATCTATGATATTATTTGTATAAAGTAATTGTTCCCCATTTAGATCCACAACTTTATGGTTGTTTGCTCAATTAAGTTCTTTTTCTGGTGCATCTCTGGTTTGGAAATTTAGGCAGATAAACAAGATTGCATAATGGTAAAAGCCTTATGAATAAGATTGCATTATGGTCGTTCTATGTTTTCCCTACAATGTAGGATATACCTACTGAGAGACTTTTTTTAAGACTATAACACAAAGCAAATGAGAGAGACTATTCATCTTGAGATGACTTTCATGAATCGATTTATTGAAGAGAAGACGCCTGCTGCTTTATTAAACAAAGATGAACCCTTCTTTGACTTCTCTTCAACATTTCCAAATATTATCTGCAAATATGAAAAAAAACAAAATTAATCGAAATCCCCCGTCTCCCCGGCCGCAGGCTTCCCCAATTCTTATCCACATCTAAAACAAATTTTCAGTGTTTTTCCTATAGATAAAAGAAGAGATTTCAACCCTACACTAACACTGTAAGAGCTTCATCATACATTAACAATCTCTATGGACCACACAACAAAGAAAATGTAGTTTTGGTCATATACATGGAATAAAAAGAACATCTACACACCAATCATAGTGCAGCATAATTTGGACCTGTTCTCATGAAGATTATAAAGATATGTGGAACCAACTAACCTCGAGGTCCTCTGCATCAGGACGGCTTACCATTTCCTTGGCTAGCAGGTATCTGTTTGGCCTATCTTTATCATCATAAAACACTTTCCATAATCTGTTAAAAGAATCAGAATAGATCAAACAAAGAGGTGGAGATTATTAGATGAGCACATCGACATCAGAAAGATTTCGGCTAACAAATTATAGGAGCCAGCTACAGAACAGCTCGAGCCAGTGAGGCTGATGAATGCCACACCAAGGTCCACACGATGGGCTCGAACAGGCTCCAATGCAGGTCAAAGTTCAGGTCAGTCGGTTTCAAATTTTAAAAATAGTCCATCCAGTAACCATATATGTGTTCCACATTTATGTACACCCAACGATAATACAAAAAGAGAGCTCACCCAAAAAACAAGGTAGTTTACAAAGTACACAAAGGTCATTTTTCAGGGAAGTGATTAAAATTAAATTTCAAATCATTATTATCTATGTTGATGTGAAGTGGTGAGAGAAAAAAATTAAAAAAATTAAAAATCAAAAAACATCGCTAACGTTGAATTTGGGTTCGTTCATTGCATACTGAATCGAAATGCAGCGAAGCTGATGGGGTTTGATAATTTTGGTGTAGTTAGGGCTGAGGATTGGGGTTAGGCACAACATAATGTAAAGGTTTCGTACACAGACCTCACTCTCAGCCTGGGCAATGGAAATGTTGGGAATTGAATGAGAAGACAAAAGTTTAGTCCTTACTCTGGATAGCATCTGAATACAGCACCAGATTGCAGAGGCCTCATCGAGTAAACCACCATAAAGGTGCTGCACGATAGTGATACATTTCAGCAACAAAAAAATAATCACTTGTTTTTGCAAATTCGAGAGAGGAAATATCAGCCAAGCATGCAGGAAAGATGTAGGAAACTTGACCTGATACAGTAATCAGTGGAAAGTTCAGTTTGAAGTTTAGAGATGCACAAGCCACATGCAAATATACACACACCTCCAGACACATTCCAAAATAAAGCTGTTATAAAGATGTAAAACATCCAAAAGATTTAAGTGAGAGAATCTCAGTAGACAGGATATTGATCGACAATGAAAGAGAAGGCCACCCTGAGAATTAAAGATTTCGCCAATATAAGGTAACTCAAATGAGGCTAACAAGAATTGAGATTTAAGTGCAAAAGAGAAACAAAAATAACAGATTCGAGATGCATTCAACAGAATGTTGGGGTTCTAAGAATTGAGCATGATCACTGCAATGCATAAATGTGTATTAGCTTTTGAATATGTATATTGGAAGAGTCAAATACGTAAATGTGATTGATTTGCCAATCTAAAAAAGATTTTAAACAACATAACTAATACTTCATCATTAACTGTCTGTTTATCACATTTATTTGTTGTTCAATAATAAAAATACCACCTGACACTTAAAGTGCTTTGACCATGTCTACAATTACAAATGTCTTTAGAAGATATTGGAGATTTTTATGGCCATGTCGAACTCATTTGTAGAATTGTCCAATATGTGTAGTGTACAACCCGTCATTGCACGTGGACAAGGTCCCTAGCAATGGCAACATTATTAAGGTTGAGAACAAGGCCAGAAAAATTTGGGTGAGATGATTTGGCAATGAGAATGATATTGAAGGCTGCACCATATCTATACTACTATAAAATGTCAACAAAAGTGAAAAACTTTTGTTTGACTATAATAACCTTAATACAACTACTAATGTCTATACTATCCTTTTTTCATTTAATTATATAAATCTTTAAATATCTTGATTCTTCATATTCATACTTGAATAACAACTATGTATATTTATTGGCAAAAAAAATGGGTGCACCGGTTGGGTTTGAGCTACAGCTTGTAGCAATGGAAAATGAAAGGTTTTCTCTTGGTACATTTATTTAAGTTTAATGCACTAAGGACCAAATATTCAATGTGCATTGAATATATCATATGCTAAAACTTGAAAATGGTCATTTCTTGTTTCCACATTCACGCTATACACAAAACCAAAAACTCATATACATTTAAACACTATAGGTAGCTATATTAAGTATTCAACCTGCAAATATCAATTGGAACTTCAATCGTTTCATATTCTCACCTCTTTGTCTGATTGATTCTCTCTTAAAAATCCATGTGGTCTAATATTTAGTAGACTTCTACCCTCTCTCACCGTGTGCTGAAATGAAAAAGCTGCCGTAATTGGTATTGGTTTTCTTTTCCTTGATCTATTTTCTTCAAGGGCCTAGTTACCTTTTGTTCTACTTGTTATATTTTCTGATTGTTTATGTTTATTTAATTGAGTTACATCCTGTTTCCCCAAGTGCTCCGCTTGTCTCGTATTTTATTTCTCGTCTTTGCTGAGTTTATGTTTTATTTAATCACTGAAGACTGATAATATTTTGGATTATAAGACTGTTTTATAATGTGTGACTTAATTTAAAAAGATGTCAACTAAGACAAGAAATCAAATGTCATTTGCCCACAGAGTGCTTCTGATCAATTTCATCCAACATGAGTAGTTATATATATTTGAATTTGCATTTCTTCCAATGTTTCTTCCTATCCGTATAGGTCATATCAGTTCTTCAACATAGACAAACTTCCAACTAAACTAGAACTTCCAACCAGTTAGGGTGGCCTAATCAACCATGTTTTTTTTACTTTGATTTTTAATCATAGGATATATGATTCAAAAGTTTTTGAATTTGAAAACTTTAACATTTATACTCACACAATTTTCTAACGAATTTGAGCTAGCTATCAAGGGACAAGAAAATTCTATGCTGCTGTTATTGGACTAAATAAATTTGTGTTACACCTTTCTTAGCTTGAAAATTCTACCATGAGGCGAGAGAAGAACTATGACAAAGCTTTTTAAACTCAAGTAGTTTAATTGTTGGTTAGCTTCTTTATAATGTTTATTTATAAATACAAACCTTGTGTTTGTTATATTAGCTTGTAAATCACAATTGAAAATAGTAGTTGTGCACTGATTATACTTGCCATTGCATTTACAAAACCTTAATTTTCTTATAACAACTTTGTTGAGAATTTTTCATATTGTTATTTTTCTACAATTTTGTTCTCAATGTGGAGAGATCCACTCAAACCATTGCTTAGGAATACTATTTCACCCTTTCCGTATTGATTTGTAGGTATTGAACAAAAGGAAGCCAAGAGATATAAACGTAGATATTAGATACTCAACTCCCACATTCTTATCTTGCTTCGATTGAGTCAAATATTAATATATCCATAACACAATTGCTCTATCAACTTATATGCAAAATCTATAGGATAACCATTGTTTGGTGTTTAGTTTAGATGACAAAAATCTACTTATGGTTGTTGTATGTTAGATAGAATTATAAATCTACTTGAAGAAAAACTTTAAGTCAATAAATATAGTCAACAGTTTTTAGAAAAAAAAAAATAGCCTATGAATCATTTTAGGAACAAAATTAGTACATTGGGTAAACATTTATATGTGATAATGGTTTTTGGTTGATAAATGAAAATTTGAATTATAAGACAATATTAATCTATTAATCTAAATTAACTGTCTAGCATCTATAAACATATGAGATAAAATAAGTTACAATAAAGCTAGATGATTTAGACGATCTCTCTAATCTTAAAATATATAATGAATAGTGCACATTTTATTTGTCTTGTGGATAATTACTTGCTATGAACTGAAACACATCATTGGGTACTGTTCTCCATGTGAATAGTTCAAGGTCTTAACAATAAAGATTAGTTTTGTTGATAGCAAATTATGATTAAAAAAATGTGTCAATATGTTTTGGTCATGTTCTCTCCGTTGGTTTATGGAAAAACAGCGAACTGTCTAAAATTGTTATTTTTAGATCAATATTTAGCAATGTAAAATACTAGATTGTTATTGGAACAAGATTTGCAAACACTATCTTAATCATGACAAAAGAGACAAGAAATTTCCATATAAAACTTTTGATGAATACCTATAAGAACACATAGAAAACATTGAAGTTTTATATGATTACATAACACTTATATTGACAATTTTCATACTCAAAATTATTCATGTGCAACGCACGTGTGCACACCAACTAGTATGAAAAATAGGGTTCGAACTAATGACACCAAGGACCAGAGAGAATCCAATAAAACATGAGCTATAACTACAAGAAAAAATATCATGGCTTTTGATTTAGCCAAAGCATGATTCAAGAATACTTGAGTTGAGCAAGGTTAAGCCAAATGGCAGAAGAGGGCATGTCTAACATACCCCAATAGCCGGAATAGACTTTGTTAAATCAAATTTCCCTGTACAATGTCTAGCAATTCAAATCATTCGACATGACATGTATTCCCTAACAGATTTAGAAAGGAAATTTGTAAGCACAATAAAGGACATAAAGTTACCTCAAAAAGTACCGGCGCAACTTCCTAACATTGACTCCAACACCAACACCCTCACTGACAAGATTTGGGTTCCACATGATGAGGGGTCTTGGCTACAAACATAACTGGAAATGGTGAGGAATCATTCCCATCTTAAATGGACCCATACAATTGTGAAACTGCAACATGTTAGTGGATGTATGTATGATATGACAGTGGATAAATAACAAATGCTAGATCAAGAAGAGGTCCTTTGTACCTTTCAAACTAACACCAAGTCTAGTCCCCAGTACTCATACTTCCATTATAATAATTTAAATTCAGCAAATAAAAACATACCACCATCACCCTCCGCTAGGGTCGCCCCTCGCCCTCAAAAAAAACACAAGGGAAAAATTAAGACAGCAAAAAGAAGAACAGAAAAGGAACAGAAAAAACAATTGATGAAAGAATGGTGACTGTTGGGACCAGCGGGTTTGGAGTTGAACCGATGATGAATGCGACTCAATTTCCTCACATGCAACAGGGGTAGAAGGGGGTAGGAAGGTTTGGAGTTGAACCAGTGGGGTTTGAGAATTGAATTGATGAAAGAATGGTGACGATTGGGACCAGCGGTGATGGGAGAAATATGGGAAAAACAGTAATTGGCCACTAAGATATCCTGTCAGTTGGCCTTGAAACCTCCCCCCCCCCCCCCCAAAAAAAAAAAAAATGGGTTTCAAATGACCCACATAGGCAGGTTAAATGGCTTTGTGCATTTCCGGTCAGTTTGTTGTCCATTCGGTTATCCAATCATCAAATTTACTTCCCATATTTTATCCAATCCTACATGTGTTAACCCCCTTTAACCCGCAATCCAAACATCCCCTTAGTGTGCATATAGTCCACATACCTCGTGGGGGTTATGTGTTGATTTTGAAACACCAGGGTTACGTGCTTAATTCCCAAACCATAGGGAGTAAAACAAAGTTTTCTGTATATACATAATACTATTATAAAGGGAGGGAAAGATTTGGTGTCCACATGTAAACCTTTATTTTCTTCTCATCTTAACCACCTATGAGCCCTTAACTACACTTAACCACCTCCCTATCTCACTCTTTTACAATCAAGCACACGAGTTGCCATGTGCAGGACCAACTAGTATATATAACTAAGGGAGACAAAGACTGAAAATCTCCCACTCCACCCCCTTTGCCACCCACCTCGACCCACTTCCACTTCCACCGCACCACACCCCACATCTTCCACTGCCCACTCCAACGAGTCCCACCTCCACTACTACTCACTCTCAACCACTCTCAACCCATCACATCTATCTCTCCCTCTTCCCCTCTCTCTCTCTCTCTCCCTCCCTTCCCCCTCCAAGAAACATCAACCCTGCGCCACCCATCACCCGCACAGCCCATATAAGAAAACAAACCCTGTCCCCGGCAGCCCCATGGGACCCCTCACCCTCACCAATCTATGTCACCCTGCTTCCACCCCATAGCTTCTATCAGAGCAACATGCACACAACTCACAGACTCTCAATCATTGTAAATATATGGTGTGAATGGGGTAATCTAGGTAATGGATTGCAAAGATCCAAACTCAATTCCGTCCTCAATTTGGTTGCACTGTAATTGGAGTTATCATTCACTAGTGATTTGGTGTGATTGGGTACAAATAGGGCTTAAACTTTAGATAAATTGGGTTGTTTTCAGATTTTTATTTGAATTGGGATATTGCTGTGCTGGGTGGCCATGGGATTCTATTGGTGCAATGGTTCAATGTAAAGGTCAAGCTGGAATAATTTTTATTTTTCTGATTTGCTCATTGTTTTTAATTGAAAGACAATTGTACAATATATATATATATATATGTGATGCTGATTTTCCAGTTGTGAGCAAGAGTGGCACTGGTGATGCCTTGCATTAACTGCCCTTCTTCCCCTGTTTCATCTTTCTTCCATTTTTATGGCAGCTCAATGGTGTGGTGGTTACTGGTTTGCAGCCGGCGAAGTGGTCGTGGGCAGTGTCATTGGGTGCGAATTTGATTAGGGTGGTGGTTATGACAGCTCTGGGTGTTGGTACACTTAAGGATCAAAATTTCGTTTTGGGGCATTGTTTCAGTCACTTAAGAAACAGAAACGTTTCGACATGTTTTGGAAACGTTTTGATCGTTTCGGAAATAGAATGAAAAAAAATAAAAAATTTAACAACTATTTTTTCAAAATATTGGTTGAAATATAACAAGATATCTTGAACCATTCCGAAATAATTGTGCAAATGTATTGAAACATAACAAACATTTCAAAACATTATAGAACACCTCAAAGCATTAGAATTTCGATTTCATTACTGATTTGTTTCGATCTCCTCGGAAACAAAAACATTTTACATTTTTTGACCGTTTCGAAACGATATTTTGATCCTTGGGTTCCCTGGTGATGTTGTGCAAGGCAAATGCAATTTGAATTTGGTTTGGGTGGCGGTGATGGCAGCTCCAGGTCTGCACACAGCAGTTAGAAGGTGAAAGGGGAGATTGCAATCTTGGGGAGGGGTTTCATGGGAAATGAGGGTAAATTTGGTATGTGAAGAAAACATTGGTATGACGTAAGCAACTTTTAGATTGTCAGTAATTGTAAGTTAGAGTAGCGGGCCTACATGAAGTGGACATATACACTACAAGAGAGTGCCATGAAATTTCAAATAATTCATGGGGTTCCTTTGAAAATATGATAATTTATCAGGGGTGTGGATGAAATATTCCCTAAATGTCAATGTTAGATTTGTAATAAGTAAACCAATCATAAGGGTATATATATAGAGAGAGTTGTAGATGGATGATTGTGACCTCCTCTCTTTTCTTAAATTCTTCTCTCTCAATAAACTCTGATTTTAACATGGTATCAAAAGAAGATCTTAGAATTTAATCCTATCTTTCGATCTCATATTTATTTTAGGATTTGCATCTTAGTCCCTTTTTGTCCTTCATCTCCTTCTACTATATTTTCCCTTCTTCCTCTAGGTTGAAAGGTGAACCGGAATCCCTTCATGGTGGTCGATTGTGCTCTAGTTTGCTATCCCTAATGAACTTCAACCCAAATAAGTAGTAATCATGTAAGAATGAATGCCGACGCAACGTGGGATACTAAGTATCATTGAGAGCTTTTGGGCCAAAATCGTCTAAGTTGTTGATTGTTTTGTTGGTGTTATGGGTTTGTGTCAGCATCTGTGTTTTCCGACATCTAAGTGTGAGTGCACCATTGGCGACATGACTTATTAATTTCTCTGTTTTGTTTTCTATTTATCATTTTGTTAGGGTCAGAACTTAATTAGGGATATTCTACTCTTGCCGAGAATATTTAGTTTTCTAAATCCTATTCAACAAGTGTTTTAATTTGGTTTTGGAAACTTTCATATAATTAGGGCGTTAATTCAGTTTCGGAATATTTAGAGGTCTAGGGCATTCCTATAAATTGCCCCAATTCAATAATACTTTTTTTGTTAGTGTTTCTCTTCCATTCATTTTTTTTTTTTTTTTTTTTTGAACATCTCTTCATATCAATTCAGGCTTTGTGTGTGTGTTCTATATATAAAGAAACGGTCTTCTCTTTGTGTCACTGTTAGCACTATATCAATTAGAGAAACAGTCAGTTGTTATTTTGTTAGCAGCCTCAGAACAGGATTTGATCTCCAAATCCAAACACCTACAATTAGAAATATAGGAAGGTTCTATCGAGCTAGAAGCTAATACATTTCAGCATTACATTAATCATCTGGATAGGAAAGTCAAGAGAAATATTAAAACTGAATAACTGCAAAATCATGCTTAAAAAGAATGATGAGATCAAGGAAGTACCGGATCATCTGAGAGATCAGATGCAATTCGTTCGACATATTCCAACATCTGATAATCAGGAACTACCATAACAATAATTTCATCGTCGCTCTCTACAGGCTTCCGGTCACTTAAACTGGGCAAGAATATGGTATGAAAGAGTTATTTAGACTGAAAATATCTAAATTCAATCACAAACTAACTTCTTTCACTTAGGAGTTTAAATTTCACAGTACAGTTATGATACTTTTAGTCATGCAAGCATTATTGAACAAATCCAAAATCAAGATGATTCAGCGGTAGGACTCCTACATGTAGGCAAATGGTGCCAAACACCTCTGGATAAGAGAAATTAACCAAATTGTATGAACAAGGGAATCTCATCAGCAAGGTGAAATTTACCTCGAAAAGCTGAAAGCAGCATCTTTCCACTGATATTTTAGAAGGGCAGCAGCACCAGCATCTGGAAATATGGCTTTCACTTTCTAACAATAAGAAATATATCTTAGCAATTAAAATTTCACTATAATGGATAAAAATATGATTGCTTATCCATGTGAGGCTTCAAACAACACAGAACTATAGAATCACACGCCTTCACCTTTTAATATAGAAGTTTATGCAAAAAGAAATATATGATTATTTAAATAACTTACTTCATACAGACATAAGCATTTCCTTCCTTTAAACTCCAAACCGTACAAAACGCAAAATGTCTCAATATGAATCAGCCCATATAATTCTTTATTAGACCATATTTTTATTCTTCTCAAGTCTTAGACTAAATAAAAAGAAAAAATAAAAATACAAGACTACTAAGAATATATTACAACTAGAACAGTGATCCCAACTAACCTGACATCCAGTTTCTTCAATTAATGTATCCAAGAAAATCCTTGAAAGTTCCCAGAGCTCAGCTTGGGCACCTTCATCATCAAGAAACTGCAACTGCGGTATTAAGAGCTCAACCTGAGGGCAAAAGCAGACCAACAAAGAAAAATATAAGTGAAGTAACTAAATCAGTACAAATGTGAGACTCTGAAATTTCAAACATTTTGAATATAATGATGCATGAATTGCCCACAAGAAGACAAATTGACTCAGGTATGTTACATGTAGAAAAGGATGAATTGTTCAACATCAACCTGAAGGTAAAAGTAAGAAAAAACTTATATAAATCAAGCTACTTCAAGTTCACTAGCATTCCTAAAGAAAAGGACACTTTAATCCAGTCAATCTTGGTCACTCAAAACACAAGTTCATAGTATGAAACTTTTCATAAGCCAGTAGAACGTATTACATATTGACAAAGATTAAATGAATATGCCTCATCTTGGTTAGAATATTGCCCTTGCATCACAACAACCTAGTTATTAGAAAGTCCTTTTGAATGTCAAACAAGTTGTACAGTGAATCAGACTACAATACTTATAAGTTGTGTCATGTCCACGTGTGTGTGCATCTCTTAAGAGAATATGAAATATGCTAAGAAGAAATAAGACAGAATTATCAACAGAATGGTGAAAGATTGACAGACACAAACCAGGGCAGAGAGAGAGAGAGAGGGAGGAAGTGAGGGAGTTTATTGATTTCGATTTATATTGGCATAATATAAATGCAAATTCCCCAATTCTTTACTAAAACACATACGAGGTAAAAGATCGAGCCTTCCCAACACATACTATGGCTCTCATTCCTCCTGAAGAAACGAAAGAAGCAGTTGCTTCACTTGACTGCCGCACAGCACCCTCCAAATCAGAAGGCAAAAATCTGAAACACAAATTCAATCAAGTAAAAAATCATTTATTTCTTACTGCTTAACTGAAATTACAAATAAAGAAATAACATGTGACATAATGCAATGATTTGAATGAAAGGTCACCTAACAGGCAACCTATACGCGCAATTCCTAATTCTCAACTGATGCAGAGCTTATAAGAATGGAGAAAAATAGCAATCATTCAACAAGCATGGTACTACTCACTTTTTGTATTTCCTTGAATGAATTAATACGCTTGCAAAAATCTGTTTAACAAGCACTGAAAATTCCTTGATAACAAACCCATGTTGGGCCAATTTTGCTAAATTAAAGGCATATGCAGAATTTATGTCATTAGACAGAAGACAATAAAATTCTCAAAAAAAAAAAAAAAAATTTCTACCAACAAACCTATATCTGAGATTATTTTAGCGGATTTCTTGCAAAAAAAATTTCTTTCCAATTAACACAAAAGTTAGACTTTCTAATGAGCTTTGAAACCAACTACAAGCTATTCCCCAAACCCCGACCTTTTTCAGTTTTTGATTCATCTTATTTTAGGACACCCAGATTCAACACTGACTATAATGTACTTGTGCACAAAAACAGGCAAAACAATCCCGGGAGGAAACATTTGTATTCATATGAAGATTTTACTTCAAATCCTACTCTATGTATAGTTTCCATGGATTATATAATTTTCAATTGCTCAAAAAAAAATTTCCCTCTAACTTGTTGTAGAGCACTCAATATTTAGCCACATAACCAGCAAGAAGTGGTATTAACATCACTACATATTTTTGACTTAAGGTATGCTGAAAACGAGTCAAGCTGATGATATTAACTTAAACAATTTGGTTAAGAAAACATATGGGCCACTAAAGCGTTGAAAGGAAAAAAGAAAAGAAAAAGCAATTGACTGTTAGTAAACACGTCTAAATGATCCAATTTCAACAGTACACATGACAACCAAAACGCCATGAATTCATGATGTATTAATGAATGAGTACAACTTACTCATTGTCTCTACAAAGTTGCCCTCCACTTGATGAATGAATAAACATGAAGCTCACTCAGCTCTATTAGTGATGGGGATAAATACCCATAAAGAGGCACATATATTGAATGAATATATACGCAAACAGATTTATAAATAAATACATACACAAATTCAATGGTGAATAAAACCTTGAACCCACCTGTCATCTTCTTCCTCTTCTTGAATTGTTTGTTGTGAGGACTTTAAAGTAGATGAGTCTGGGATGTCTTCAATATTGTCTTGCGAAACTTGGCCTTGGAATTTCTCAAACTTTGCACTTGTTCTTGTGGTAGACAAAACTCTGTATGGTGGAATCCCATGGAACCCACAGGAATTGGAGGGATAAAGAGATGACAAGAAGTGGGTGGTGGTGGGTAATTTGGGGATTGACATAGAACAGTAACACAAATTAGAGTACGGGGACGCCATGGCTTCTATGCAACTCTTCTGGTGAATTGCAGAGAAGCCAACCAGAGAAGCCATGAATGGTGACAGTACAGGGGATAAGTCGAGCAAGTAATTATCTTCTGTGGAAGCTAAAACACGACCACACGAGGTGGATCATTATACATTTGCAACCTACGCAAAAACATTTCCGTAGCCAGGCTATTGTGTGTTGACGCACCTCGTGGATGGACTTTTCTCGCTAAAAGTCCTTTTAGAAAATCATAACTGTATGGGTGTTTGTTCGGGACGATAAAGGGGAATATTACAAGATGGATTGGATAAAAATAATTAGGGCCACATATCTTAGTTTTGGGTTCTTCAAATGGGATTAGTTATTCGTTGGGCTTCAATTACTCGGGCCGTATTAAATAGGCCACTTATTTCACTTGATTCGAATATATGAAACTCATGTAGAGTTTGGTATTAGTAACTCATCGGCCGAATAAGGGTTAATTTTATTTTGTACCCTGAAAGATTGTTCGAATTTTAATTTATACCCTCAAAGATTAAAAATTTCAATTTACACCCTCAAAGATAGAAAATTATATTAATGTACACCCCCAAAGATCAAAAATCTCAATTTGCACCCTCAAAGATAGAAATTTGTTTCAATGTACACCCCCAAAGATCAAAAATCTCAATTTGCACCCTCAAAGATAGAAATCTGTATTAATGTGCACCTAAAACTAAATTGATAAATTATACCTAGATCCCCTCATGTTTGCCACTTAATCATTTGAATCCCTTCACATATAGAATATTACCCCTAGATCTCATGACGTTTGTACATGTGTAAACATAACCACTTTTCGTTGATATCTATTAATATAATCGTTAAAAAATATGATTTTATCCTAATAAAAAATTATAATTTCATATTACCCTTTATTTTGTGGATTCGATATACTCTAAAGTTCAAAATCAAGCTTACCATTTGAATGTCTACTAGAATGTAGATATTTATAAAAAGGAAAATATGAAAAACATTATATAAATATCTACATTTTATTAGACATTCAAATGGTAAGCTTGATTTTGAACTTTAGAGTATATTGGACCCATAAAATAAGGGTAATATAAAATTATAATTTTTTATTAGGATAAAATTATATTTTTTAACGGTTATATTAACGGATATCAATGAAAATGGGTTACATGTTGTACGTGCATAAATGTCATGAGATGTAAGAGTAATATTCTAAATGTAAAGAGGTCCAAATGATTAAGTGACAAACATGAGAGGATCTAGGTATAATTTATCAATTTAATTTTAAGTGCATAATGATACAAATTTCTATATTTGAGAGTGCAAATTGAGATTTTTTATCTTTGGGGTGTACATTGATATAAATTTCTATCTTTAAGGGTGCAAATTGAGATTTTTTATCTTTGGGGGTGCATATTGATACAAATTTCTATCTTTGAGGGTGTAAATTGAGATTTTTGATCTTTGGGGGTGCACATTGATACAAATTTCTATCTTTGAGGGTGTAAATTGAGATTTTTGATCTTTGGGGGTGCACATTGATACAAATTTCTATCTTTGAGGGTGTTAAGATTTTTGCTCTTTGAGGGTGCAAATTGAGATTCTAACTATCTTTCGGGGGTGTAAAATGAGATTAACCCGCCGAATAATGAAGAAAATGATTAAATTACCCATTAAACAGTAATAGTAGGTAGGGTTTGTAACCCTTTCCCTTCCCTTTCAGCGGATGTCCCTCTATTTGACAAAGGCGCCTCTTGTCCCCTTCCCATTCAGTCGGACGTAAAAATCGTCTCTTTCTCTCTCTTGTCTTGATCATCTCTCTATCTCTTGCCACTGTAATATTTTATTCATTAGCTACATAGTATAAGGTTGTAATTTGGCATGAAGCAATAGATGCTTCCAAGAAGAAAAATTGAAATCGGTTCATTTTTTTTTTTGTTTGAACTAGGGAGAAAGGTCAGTTCTGAAGCAAGTGCTCTCTCTCTCTCTTCTTCTCTTCCTCCATGGATAACATCTGAAACTTCGCTGGATTGAGGCCTATATTTTTTTCTTATGTACAATACTATGTATTTTTTTTGTAATCTACTACATGAGAGATGGAATCAGGTCAGTATAAGTGTGTGCTGCAGCTGTATTCCAGGATCGTTCATCTACACTTTCTTTTTTTGGTTTTCTCCAATACTCGACGGAGGACATTTACATTGCAAGAGTTGGGTTTGATCAGGTGGTGGTTTAAGATTGGGATCTAACTATATGGTAAAAAGAAAATTTTTCTGTATGATATCTTTTTATTATTATTATTATTAAATAAAATGTGATACATATAAAACTCATTTATTTTTTTATGTCACTTTACTCAGATTATTTTGATCATCAATGGTTTGAATCAACCAAAAATTTATGACAACAATTCATGTTTTGAGTTGGTGGTTTTCTTATTTCTCTTACCTGATCAATCATAATAAAATCCAAAAAAATTAGTCATGGAAGTTGGGTATAGTAACAAATATGTGAGACATGGTTTTTGAAATTAGTAGTTTGTTTGATCAGAATAATTATGTAAAATAACAATTTTGTTAGGGATTCGCAATTTCGGTTTGATGTGTATAATTTTCTTTGGTACAGGGAGAGTTTATAGAAGATGAGAAAGTCTTGAACTCCAGGGGAAAAAATCACTTGCTCAGTTTGACTTTCACATTGATGTATGTATAACTCAAATAACAATAGCCATTTTTCACAAGTATTCATAGATAAAATTACATACATCTTAAAACAATGTGTACATCTAAATTTAGTTGTTAACATGTTTCTTTCAATACTTTGCTACAATTATTTGGTACATATTGAATATTAAATAATGATATAAATGTTGACCTTTAATTAGAAGAATAAAAAACAAAGAGTCAAACGCCTTAAATAAACCAACGCCCACATATGCCTTTCATAAAAAAAAAACTGAGCAACCTCCCTCCTCACCCACACAAAACAGTCAATATACCAATTACTTCACCTCTTTCTTCTATAACTTAAAATATAAATTTACCACTCTTGTTTACTTTTGGGTTATGTGTTACTATTATAATTTCAAGGATCTAATCACAAATATTTTTTTTACTTTTGTAGGTATTTATAATTGCCAAATCGACTTCCACTCCATCACTAAGGTACTTTCCTATATTCCTGTCAACCATGGTGTCAATATGCCAATTTGCATAATAATTTTTACATACAATGTATTTTTTTGGTAGAAGTTATTTGATTTATGTTATGGAGGAATGTGATATTGTTTACCAAACCCCCTGCCTTTACCATGAGATGCATTGATATGGTATGTAATGTTAAGAAACCATTTTCATTTATACAATGTGGTGGGTATTGGTACTTGAATTAGAACATTTTCATTCACACTGGATCGGTGATAACTATTTTGTATTGTTTTATTTTGTTTTTATGAAGTAGGTAAACATGGACAGCCCTAGTGACGAGCTATGTATTTTACTTACCATTTTGAATAGGAATATTTGAGAGATGGTCATTTTTCTAAATCTTATGGTGTCAATTAATGGTGTTGATATGGGAAATGGAAAACAATTCTACGAAAGTTGAGGTCCCACGACCTTTAAGTAGGAGTTGGTTACAAACTTACACAGTCTCATTGGCAAGAGTGATATAACTTGTATTAGCCAAATGAGGATGGACAGACGCACATTCGTTGTATTATGTAATATGGTTCGTGATGTCGGTGGACTAACTTCAACTAGGAATATCAGTATTGAGGAGATAGTAGCCATGTTTCTAAGTATTTTAGCCCATGATGATAAAAATAGGCCAATTAAGTTCAATTTCCTTCGATCGAAAGAAACCGTTAGTCGTTTTTCAAACAAGGTACTAACTGCAGTGTTGAGGCTACGTCAAATTTTGCTAAAGTTGTCAGAACCAGTTCTAGACAACAATAATGACTCTAAGTGGAAGTGGTTTAAGGTAAGTGTTGTCTGATAAAATATTCAATATTGTATATTTTAATATTTTAATATTTTTTGTTTTCGTTACAAAGGATATATTGCACCTAGTAATGGGATAATATTTTTATTGTTTTTCATTGTAGAATTGTGTGGGTGCATTAGATGGGACTTATGTTCCTGCCCGAGTCCCTCTAGTCTACTAAGCTAGATATAGAACATGTAAAAGTGGAATAGCGACAAATGTGTTAGGTGTTTGTTCTCCAGACATAAAATTCATTTATGTGCTACCTAGTTGGGAAGGGTCGGCTACAGATTCTAGGATATGACATGATATTATTAGTAGGCCTAATGGCTTGAAGGTTACACGTGGTAAGTCATATTTAATGTCATTTTGAAGAAGATTTGTACGCTTCTATATATAGGTTATAGTTGGTTATTGGGTAGTTGTAATTTAAAGCTTCTTGTACCAAATAGGAACGTACTATCTAGTTGATGTCGGTTATACAAATGGGGAGGGATTTTTAGCACCATTCAGTGGTCAACGTTATCATATTCAAGAGTTTGGGCCTGGTGCAACCACACCATGAAATGCTAAAGAATTGTATAACCTCAAACATTTTGTAGCAAGGACATGCATTGAACGATGTTTTGCTCTGCTAAAGAAACGATGGACAATTCATAGGGCACCTTGCTACTACCCTGTGCGCACTCATAATGGCATAATAGCTGCATGTTGTTTGTTGCACAACTTAATTAGGAATTAAATGAGTGTTAACCCATTTGAGGAAGACTTGCCCGAAGATATGCCTGTTGATATTGAAGAGGTGAATGATGTCATAGATAGTATTGCGACATCTACCGAATGGTCTTTGTTTCGCAATCAAATGGCATTGGATGTGTACAATGAGTGGCTAAGTAATCGTGGCCAACCAATAGTTTGAAGATACTTGTGTTATTTAAACTTGCAATATAAAATGTTTCACGTACTAACTACTTAATGCATAGTGTTATGTTTTATGTACATGTATTATGAATTATGTATTATGTGTATAAAATATGTTCCATTTATAAATTAATGTCTCCATCTT